AGGAGGAGGAGGAGGAGGAGGAGGAGGAGGAGGAGGAGGAAGAGGAGGAAGAGGAGGAGGAGGAGGAGGAGGAGGAGGAGGAATAGTGGAGGAGGAGGAGGAGTCCGCAGTGATTTTGGCTCAAGCCCTATCTGGCTCAAGCCTCTGACCGCCTTCCGCACTCGGCGCCTCGACCCGCCAGCGGTACACTGCCGCGGCTCGCGGAAGTCCGGACCCCAGACATGGAGGACGTTTTCGCAGAGGCGCCGTCGGGCGGCCCCCCGCTGCAGCGCACGATGTCCTCGTTCTCGCTCGGCTCCAAGAACTCGAAGGGCACGCAGGTGTCGGACTCGGACCAGAGCCTGGCCACGCACAGCACCCAACTCTCTGGCAAGAACGAGAAGTGGAACTACCTTTTCAAGGAATCGGAGGAGGTTTGTAAGCCCGTTGACAGTGGCTGCCTGACGAACGACGAGCGCAAGATCACTGTGAGCAAGGATGGTGTTGTGGCGTTTCCTCCGCAGCTGAACAAGATCAGGTCGGGCAAGCCGAACTTGCTGCGGACCACTCGCTTCACCTGGATGACCTGGATTCCGCTGAGCCTCATGCAGCAGTTCAGGCGCGTGGCGAACGTATACTTCCTCTTCATCTGCGTCATCGTCGTCTTCCCGTTCTCTCCGAAGGCGTGGCACAGCAAGCTGGGGCCCTTCTTTCTCGTGCTGCTGTGGACCGCGTGCAAGGACATGTACGAGGACCTGCGCAGGCGCCGCGACGACAAGGCCGAGAACTCCCAGCCCGTGTGGCGTTTTGCAAAGGGCAAGAACGGCAGCAAGGACAAGTTCGAGCAGATCACATGGAAGGATGTGCTGGTGGGAGACGTGCTATACATCCAGAAGGACCACGCCTTCCCGTCAGACACCCTCCTGCTTCACCCCGCGGGAGGATCCGAGTGCTTCATATCCACGGTGATGCTGGACGGCGAGACGAGTCTGAAGGAGCGCAGCGCGCCCAGCGTCTTCGAGGCGCTCAGCCGCGAGTGCGGCAAGAAGAACGACAAGTGGCTGGCGATGCAGGCCGAGAAGGATGCGTCCAGCCCCGCGAAGAAGCGCATGCCTGCTGCATCGGCCGGCGACGGAGACACGGCCGAGACGCTGGACGGAGGAGTGCCCGCGCGCTCCAACTCGGTGGATGTGGAGGGGGAGGCCGGTCGCAGCTGGAAGGAGCTGGAGCCCGAGATGCTCAAGTACCTCGCCATGATGTGCCAGGTCGGCTTTGACGTCAAGCTGGCGGCGCCCACGGCCGCCCTCAGTGACGTCCGAGGCGCGATCCACATGCGGAGCGAGGACGCCGCCTCGGGCTCGACCAATGTGTGCCCGTTCGGGGATATAAACTTCCTGCCCCGCGGTTGCACCCTGAAGAACACGCCCTGGGTGCTCGGCATCGCCGCCTACGCGGGGGACGACTCCAAGGTCCGGATGAACGCGATGCGGGGCCGCGTGAGCAAGTTCTCCAACATGCAGGTGAACTTGAACCGCGTCATCACTGGGTTGCTCGGCTTCCTCTTCTTCTTGTGTCTTGCGGCCACGATCGTGTACACGGCAGGTCAGGGTTCCATCGCCGAGAAGACTGGCGATAAAGATGCACTGCCTGATAGCCCCATCCACCCCATCATCATGTTCCTGCGATTCACCATCATCTTCTACCACATAGTGCCGCTCAGCCTGTACGTGGTCTACGAGATGCTGAAGCTGTTCCTCGGCTACCTCCTGCAGGCCGACAAGCAGATGGTCGACCCCGACACCGGCGAGGCCGCGCTCCCGCGGACCGCCGACCTGATGGAGGAGATGGGGCAGATCAGCTTCATATTCTCGGACAAGACGGGCACCCTGACTCGCAACGAGATGGTCTTCGCGCAGTGCGACATCAACGGCGTCGACATGGGCGAATTCCGCGGCGACGACGCCCCCGGCCTCCGCAGGGCCAAGCAGCTGCTCAGCAGCGCCCAGCCCGCAGAGGGCGAGGACCTGATGTTCCACAAAGTGGTGGACTTCTTCACGTGCCTCGCGGTCTGCCACAGCGTCGTGCGGGAGAAGCGGGTGAGCCAGAAGGAGGCGGAAGCGGCTGCTCCGCCGGAGGCCTCCAGCAAGGCCGCGCTTGGCAAGGACGCGCCGACGCACGAGGTGGTGGCCGAGGTTGGGGAGCAGGGTTCCGTGGCGGTCTACTCTGGGGCCTCGCCGGACGAGGTTGCGCTGGTGAACGCGGCCTGCAAGGCGGGCATAGAGTTCAAAGGGCGCAAGCGCAAGTATGCGGGATCCTCGTCCGAGCTGACCGTGCGGGGGCCTGGCGCGAAGGAGCGCGTGTTCGTGCAGCTCTTCGAGCTGCCCTTCAGCTCGGAGCGCAAGCGCATGTCCGTGATCGTGAGGCACCGGGGCGACATCTGGTGCATCACGAAGGGGGCGGACGCGGTGATGGAGCCGCTGCTGCGGGAGCCGCTCGGCGCAGACACCCAGACGCACCTGAACGCGTACGCGGCGAAGGGTCTCCGCACGCTCGTCGTCGCGATGAAGAAGGTGATCGTTTTTTATTCATTGTTTTGCCGCTCGGCGCGGGCCCTCGCACCCCCCCCTTCCCCACCCCAATGGAGTAGATCTTGGCTGTCTTTGGCGCCTGTCTCGAGCGGGTGGAGTCTCCCCCATCGGACACACGCTTCCAAACAGCCGCACTAAGCAGAGGTCAGGAGCCAGGCCCCCCCCCCTTCGCCCCAATGTCGAAGCGCCGAACAAAAAACGCTCCCAAGGTCAGCCAGGAGGAGTGGGAGGCGTGGAGCGAGGAGTACGTCGCGGCCAGGGAGGTCATCAACACCACCAAGGAGTCGGGCATGGCAGCTGTGGCGGCGAAGATCGAGAAGGGGCTAAAGTTCATCGGCATCACCGCGGTGGATGACCGGCTTCAGGACCAGGTGGCCGAGACCATCAGCCTGGTGAAGGAGATGGGCATCCGCTTGTGGGTCCTGACCGGTGACAAGACCGAGACCGCTGTGGACATCGCCAAGTCTTGCAGCCTCTTCACAAGCTCCACGACTCTGGCCTACGCCGTGAAGGGCTCAAGCGCGAAGGACTCCGAGGACAAGCTGCTCAAGGCGTACTCGGAGCTGGAGGGCAAGGCGGACGCCGGCATCGTGCTCGACGGCCAGACTCTCCTGCACGCGCTGAAGAGCCCAGAGTGCCGCAAGGTCATCTACGACTTGGGAATGGTAAGTCGTTCGTGCATCTGTGCGCGCCTGAGCCCCCAGCAGAAGCTGCAGCTCGTCCAGCTGGTGCGCGAGCAGGATCCGAAGACCATCACGCTCTCGGTCGGCGACGGCGCGAACGACGTCCCGATGATCTACGGCGCGCACGTCGGCGTCGCGATCCGCGGAAAGGAGGGCACGCAGGCAGTGCAGGCGTCCGACATCGCCATCTCGCAGTTCCGCTTCCTGATGCCGCTGCTGCAGTGCCACGGGCGCCGTGCATACAGACGGGTAGCGCTGTTCCTGAGCTTCTTCCTGTACAAGAACATCACGCTCATCATGCTGGACATCGTGTGGATGTTCCAGTACCATTTCAAGGGCATGGTCGCCGTGCCCGAGTGGCTGTCCATCAACTTCAACCCCGTGTTCACCTCGCTGCACATGCTTCTGGTGCTCGGCCTCGACAGGGACATCTCCGACGAGGCGGCCAACAAGAACCCGAACTTGTACAAGGTCGGGCCTGCCCGCGCTCTCTTCAATGTGAAGACGTTTTCGGTCTGGGTGGTTCTGGCTTGCTACCACGGCATCGTCTGCTGGTGTATCCCTTATTACCTCATCGATCCCAATATCGACGACTGCCCGGTCGACTCCGACGGAAACGCCATCACAACCGGCAGCTCCGAGTGTCTGACAAAGGAGGTGCGCTCTGACTTTTGGGTTTCTTCCGTCACCTCTTTCTCGTGCGTCGTCTTCGTGGTCTGCCTCAAGCTGATGCTCGTCGCTCAGAACCCGCTGGGCCTGCACACGTGGCTCCCCACGCTGATCACGTTCGTCATGTTCTTCATCGCCATCTTCTGCTTCAGCTACGTGTGGTTCGGCCCCACGCTGCAGCCCAACATGAAGGGCATGTTCGGCGAGATGCTCGGGGACAACATGGTGTACATGTCGGTCCTGGCGGTCGTCGTGGTCGCGCTGACCCCCGACGCGGTCATGGTCGCCTCTCAGAAGCTCTTCTTCCCCACCGAGCTGGACAAGGCTCGCCGCAGGTCGAAGCAGGGGGGCGCCCCCGAGCAGTGAGAGCCGGGCCGCGGCGCGGCCTGCGGCACACGCCCGGCGGCTCTCCGCGCCACGCGCGGGCCCCGAGCTTCCCCTCCGCGTCCAGCACGGCGGAGGTTTCGCCGCCAGTCTTCTCCTGCCGTCACCCGCCGCCCTGGAGGGGCAGCCGACCGCCAGAGTTTTCTCCCGCCCCAGCGGGGCGAGTGGACCTCTCTTGGTGAGCGCTCCGCGGGGACGACAGGCCGTCGCGTTGGAAGCGGGCTTGGGCGTGCGCCCCGCGTCGCCTTTTTCCCTGAGTCCGAGCGGAGGAGGAGGAAGGAGGAAAGGAGGAGGAGGAGGAGGAGGAGGAGGAGGAGGAGGAGGAGGAGGAGGAGGAGGAGCAGGAGGAGGATGATCATTTTATTTAATCGTTTCGCTCACTCCGCCGGCCCGTATTGTGCCATCGCAGACGTTTGCCTGCGCGTTCGTGGCCTCTTGGAGGCCGTTTGGGGGCCTCTTGGAGCCTCTTTTGGGGCCTCTTGGCGGTATTTCTGGGACCTCCTGGGGCGTCACGGGGGCCTCTTGGGGTCCTCTTGGGGGTCTCTTGGGGTCTCTCGGGGGCCTTCTTGGGGTCTCCTGGGGACTCTCTGCGCCCAGAGCCCGAAATGTCCGTTCGGGTCCACCGTCTGGGCCCGCTCTTAGAGCCGTCTTGGGAGTCGCTTCGGCCATCTTGGAGGTCTCTGGGGCTGTCTTGGGGTTCTCTGGGGCCGTCTTGGGCTCTCCTGGGGCCGTCTTGGGGGTCTGGGCCGTCCTAGACGGCCCAAGACGGCCCCAGAGACAGCCCAAGACGGCCCCAGGATCGCCCAAGACGGCCCAAGACAGCCCCAGAGCCCCGTCCTGGGCCCGTCTGGGCTGTCTTGGGGTTCTCTGGGGCCGTCTTGGGCGATCCTGGAAGCCTCTTGGGCCGCCCTGGAGCGCCAGTACGCCGAAAAATGCGAGAACGCCAACGAATCATAAGTTTCTGCCTCTGTGTGCTCGCTTGGGAGGTCTCTTGGAGGCCTCTTGGGGCGTCTTGAAGGCGCTTTGGGCTGTTTGGAGGCCATGTTTGGCGTCTCGGACCATGTTGAGCTCTCTTGGATGCCACTTGAAGCGCTCCTGGAGCGCTCTTGGGAGCTTGCTGGGACCTGGCTGGGACCTGGCCGGGACCTGGCCGGGACCTGCCCGGGACCTGCCCGGGACCTGCCCGGGACCTTGCCTGGGTACTTTTCGTTCTTGGGGCCCCCAGGGGCGGCCCCGCGCGCGCGAACTAAAAATATTGTTAACCAGTTACCGGAGATCTTAGCACGCCCTTGGCCCGTTGGGCCGGCGAATTGTGTAGCGGAGCTGATCCAAAGATGGCTCGTTCCAGCTGGTAGCTTTCTTGCCCATCGCTGGCCGCGGCCCGCTTTTGCGGGCCAGGCCCAGGGAGAGCTCGACCCCGTTTCTGTCGTGCCAGGCGGCAGCGTCGTGCCGCCGCGCGGCGCTCCTCCAGCCCTCCTCCGTCCTCCATCCCTCCTCGTCCATCCTCCTCGTGCTCATTTCTTCCCATCTTCCTTCTCCCGCCTGGCATCCGGCTGGATGTAGCATCTGCAGCGCCACCCGTTGGCGATTTTCCAACCTGAGTGGGCACCGATTCGCCAACAGGCGGCCGCCAACGTGTCGCTCTGCAGTGCTCGCGCAATGCGTACTATTCCTTATTGTTGCGATCGCGCCATATGTCTTCACCATGCGGTGCGGTAGGTAGCAGCTGTGTGTATATACGAGTTCCCGAGGATGATTCAGGGTCGCCCCTGTGCCAGGAGTAAATGGCCACTGTATGCGGCGAGTTGTGGGGAGGAGGAGGAGGAAGAGGAGGAGGAGGAGGAGGAGGAGGAGGAGGAGGAGGAGGAAGAGGAGGAGGAATAGTACTAGTAATGATAATAATACTAATGGTAATACTAAGAATAAGAATGAGAGGAGGAGGAGGAGGAGGACGAGGAGGAGGAGGAGGATCCCCACCCCCAGTTGCTTGTTGATGTTTTGATGTGGTTGAGGTTGAGGACGGGGATATTTTTTTTACGTCTTGGCTGCTTGCTTTACGGTGCAATCTCACCTTGCAAACAGTTTCATAGCAGCGGCGCACTTTTTGCACGTCGAGATCTTTTTTTTTTTCTGACCAAGGGCAGCGACCCAATAATTGCGCAGACTTGCTGTCACCTGACCAGCCAGCACTGTGTCAGCCTACAGACTGATTCAGGTGGTTTGGGGTAAGCCATAAAAACCCTGGGAAGCAGCCCAAGAATTGCCAAACCATAAGCCTTTCACCTTGGGGGATACTCTAAACTGAGCTGGGGCAAGGGCGAGAGATATCGAGCGTTTGTCCGCGGCCGCTTGGGCTCAAGCGGCCGGCCGCCAATATATGATTGTGCCTCGTCGCGAGGCACGCTACTTGCCATCGAGACCGAAAACATCTTCGCTTGAGATGGCCCGTCGCTCCCGCGACGACCTCCTACGTCCGGGACTATCGTTACTACGGTACAACAGAGTTGGATATGGGATTCGCCGTAGGCGGAGCTGCTGGTTGGGCCTCCCACCCCCCTTCAAACTTGGTAGCGGAGCTGGCCTATGGTGGTCAGCTCTTGCTCTACTCCTCGCCATCCACGGCACTATCTGGTGGACTACTGACATGGTGGAACGTCAGGGTGCAGTGGGTCTGCGCGGAGGAATGTACATAACTACGCACAACCGCAAGGACACTTGCAGGTCTACCTCTGCTTCCGTGGAGGCCTCTTACTCGAGTGCTACATCCCTGCGCGACCACACTCCTGAAATCCACACACCTACTTCAATGGGAAACTTTTTGGAAGACACCATGCATGGCAACATGCGATACGAAATTGTGCCGCTTCCACCCCCACGCAGGCCTACAACAAAATACCACGAACCCCAGCTACTAACATCTGACCACGACCTACGGGGCCATTGGATTGGTCTTGCTATTTTTGGCTTTCTATGGGTCGCTATCGGGTGTGCTATGGGGCACATGCGTGGCGAAGACGACACAAGAACAACCGGCCCCCACTGGGATCCAGCTGGTCAAATACCTTTCCGCGAATTCGTTTGGGAGGTATATGCCTGGATCAACGTGACCGCAGGCACTATGACGCCCTGCCATGAGGATGCAGCACTGCAGCGTGATCTGGGAGGTCTCGTACGGACCATAGCCATGAGAGTTCCCCCCACAGTCGTCAGTTTTGGCGTCAACATTGGTGGTCGCCACACCGATGGCGTCACCTACATCATGTTCCTCCTCAGCACGAAGTTGGAGAACTTAGAGGAGGAACGCCAACTTAACTCGGGAACGGCTCTCATCGACTTTTGCGTCCATGCGGGAGAACGGATCGACCAGACAGCCGCGCGCTTCGAAATAGCCCACTATGAAGCTGAGACGGCAGGCTTTAACATCCCCAATTTTCAAATTCTAGCAGTCATTTTGTTCAGAGCCTTAGGAGTGGGGACGTCGCGTGCACGACAACTCCTACAGTCACTTAATCACCAAATGCCGAGGACTCAACACCAGTTTGATGCTTTACTTGAACGCATGAGGTCCTATGCCCATATTGCTGAGCGAACTCCTGGCAATATTGGTGGTACCTTTAGCCACGGCCACCGCGCCGAAACTTTTCATACTGACAATCATGCAGTGCAACCTGCTGCAAATGTCTGGAATGACGATCCGCAGCCTACAGAGACCACCGCTCTATTCGCCCAAAATGGTGGTCCGCCAACGGGGTCGCAAGACCCCTGGGCTAGATATCAGGGACCGTCGGCAATGGCGGCCCCTACCCAAGCCACTACCCTTGTAGGCTCAGCAGGGCAACCCGCCGAGTCTGAATTTGACTCTGGGACCGACACCGACACGTCATCGGATGATGAAACGGCTGCCTAGACTAGTCCGACATGCCTACGTCTTTTAAAGAAGAACAACAAGCTCAATGGCTATTTCTAGGATATCAAAAGCATAAACGCAGATATATACGTTTCATGAATAAGCCAGTTCGTAAAGTACGACGCACTCTTCGACGGGCACTTAGGGTGAAAGGCAAGGATCGAGGCAAGGGTAATTGCAAACGACGGCGATTGCATGGCAGAGGTATGCTGGCATTCCTGGGCCATTCGCGTCAATGCATCCCACGCGAAGAAGTCTCTTGGCATTGCGTTCCAAACGGCCGCCGTCCAGTACCAACGTCGGGGTCCAACTGCTAGCTGCCAGGTGTTCCAGCTGTTGTGCAATCTTGCTGCTGAAGAAGGGCAGCCTGGGGTAGCCGCGTTCTCCTGCCTCTTTCCAGCGGCAAGACCGCCTTCGACGAGATGTGCTGCCACATGGCCGCCAGGAACCCCGATATTTTCTACCAGTGAGTGTTCTTGCTGTGCCAAGTGCACCAGTTCTTGTGCCCGATACGCTACTTCCTCTGCGCCCCACGTCTGTTGGGCTGCGCTTCCCGTCAAGGCTGCGTGCGTTCCCTCGTTGGTCGAGGTTGCGCCTCCCGTCTTGGTTTCTTGTTCCATGTGCTACTCGATCCTTCGGGCGAGTGCGTTGACTCCACATCCTGCGGGCGGGAATCGGCTGCGTCTTCTATGCGTGAAGTGGACACGTCACACGCTCGTTTCCAGTGCTGGAGGAGGGGTGGAAGGATTGATGGATGGAGGGAGGGAGAAGGGATGGAGCAACGAAGACAAGGGAAAGGAAACGAGGGAGGGAGGATGGGGAGGGGAGGAGGACGAGGAGGAGGAGGAGGAGGAGGAGGAGGAGGAGGAGGAGGAGCATGGAGAGGGGGAAGAGGAGGAGAAGGATTATAAGGCAGAGGAGGACCAGGAGGAGGAGGAGGAATGTGGGGAGAAGGAGGAGGCACAGGAGGATGAGGAGGAGGAGGAAAAGGAAGCGGAGGAGGAGGAGGAGGAGGAGGAGGAGGAGGAGGAGGAGGAGGAGGAGGAGGAGGAGGACGAGGAGAAGGAGGGCAGGAAGCAGGGGCGGGAGGAATATCCCAATGACGGGCCAGGTCAAGAGAAACGACGCATTAGCAGAAATGCGCAGCGTGATGAGGAATCGGGCGGGGAAAAACTGGAGAGGACCGAAACCAATACCCTTTGCCAACTCAGCCTGTCAACCCAACCATCCCACCCCGCCACCCCGCTACCGAGCCAACCCGCTCAACCGGCCACGCCCGCCGCCTGCCTTCCGTCGCAGCCGAGCAGAGCGGGGGGGGCAGTGCTTCTTGCCAGCGGGAACAAAGACAAACACTCCCCGGGCTTGGCGGGAGCTCTGGGGGAGGGCACACCGCGCCGCACCATGGAGGAACCGGCTTCTCGCCGCGGGTCCGGGACGGTTTTGGGCCTCGAGTGCGAGACCAGGTGGGCGGCGCCAGGAGGCTTCAGGAGGCCCCTGGAAGTCCGAGGAACCCCCTGGCAGTCCCAGAAGGCCCCGGGAGGTCCCATGGCCCACTGCGCGGCGGGGGGGGGGGCGGTCCTGGCACGTTTTTTCGACTTTCCGGGGGCCTTCCGGAGTCTTCTGGGGGCCTCGGGGTGGACCCCCAGAGAGGCCTCTGGCCACCTCCGTCGGTCCCGTTGCCCTAGACCTCCTCCCCTCGACCTCCACCTTCCGCACCTGCCGACGGGAGATGCCGCGCAGCACCAGCCGCACCTGCCGCACCTGCCTTGCCGCAGCGGCTGCCAGAGCGGCCACGGTCGAGGCCGCCGTCGAGGCTGTAGCGGCGGTCTCGGCTGTCTCTGCGGCCGTGCCGCGGCGGCAGCTGGGCAACTGCTGCGCGGAAGGTTCGGAAGGTGGAGGTCAAGGGTCCATCGCGTGATTTTGAGCCCGAGCGTTTTTCCTAACGTTTGGTTTCTGGGGATCGTTTCGGACCCACCAGCGTAAAGACGCCAGAGGAGGAGGGGACAACCCGACGCTCCAAAGAGTAAGCTGCATTCAATTGGTCGCTACCCCCGTGAGGGGTGCCACAGGGTACGGCGATAATGGTGGCGATAATCATGGTGGTGACTAATCGTTTGTCTTGCTGCAGTCTTCGCCGTTGTCTTATATATCGCATGTTGATGCGGATATCGAGAACGATGACGCGGATGAGGGTATTGATAAGCAGTGCGTGGTGGCCTGAAGACCAGGCGGATGCTAGATGGAAGGGAACGATGGGGTGGATCCATGGCAGGAAGGTTGGAGGATTATGTCTGTAAAGCGGTTTGTGTTATTGTTGCCAGATGCCTACCAGCTTTGCCATTTGTTCCTCGTTTGGCATTCTTTACGGTAGCACGATCCCACACACCGGCCGCTCCAATTTTGTCGATGCGTGGGCCCCCGAGGTCTGGACAACTAACCCAGGGCCAGTTTTTCGTCCTGAGTCCTTTGCTGACGGTCCCGAGGCCCGGCGAGTGCTCCCCGTGGCCCGCAACAGACAAAGACTGGCCGATCTCCCCTTTTTCCGGAGCGTCGGATCTCTGGGGTGACCGCATCTTCCGCTCGAATTCTTGGGGACATGCGCCCCGAGGAGCGACGGCGCGACCCCCACCTCGGCCGCCTGGCGCGTCCTGCGCGCCATGGGCTCGCAGTGGGTCGCCAGCGGCGCCCTGGTCGATGCGGGGCGCGGGGCCCCCTGGGGGGGAGGAGGGCCGCCGAGGCCGCGAGGCCCTGGGGGAAGGGGGCGGCGAGGCCCGGGGGGAGGAGGGTTTCTCCGAAGGGCTTAGGCGACCCGTCCTCCTCCTCCTCCCCCTCCTCCTCCTCCTCCTCCTCCTCCTCCTCCATCTCCTCCTCCTCCATCTCCTCCTCCTCTCCTCC